GGATTGCTTCGTCTGCTCTTGAGGGACCACCTTGAGAGGGAGGTTTGTCATTGGGCCTTTCGGTGTCTTTATAATGTCACCTTTTTAGTATGAATCAGCAACACTTACGTTTTCAGATGCAACCTGCCGTATTTGGGAGAACATGCGTGTGATTTTCATGACCAACCTCTCTCAAGGCTGCTTCTCGAAATGAGAATGGCTCATGTGAGAAAGGGGGTCACTGAGGGCTCATCATTATGACTAGGCTATGATTTATAATGAGTGTACTCAATAAAATATATCACGTCGTTTTTTCGTCCGAAAAGGTACAATGGAAGGCAAATGGCCTCTAGCCTGCACAGCAGCAGCAGCAGCAGCCTTAACAGCGTGCAATCAGAGGAGCCCTGAATAATCTCTTCTTGAATTTCGATTTAAAGCTTTCGTGACTGCAAGGATTCATCTTCTTTGGTTCTTTCGGTAAAGTCACGTAGAATGATAGTAAAATAATAAATTGATAAAATAAAATCGGCATCTCTTCAGAAAGGTGAGAGACTCGATTAGTTGAGCCTTCTTATCCCGGAGTCTGTTGAACCGCCTCTACGGGGAGGGATTCCACACAACCTTAAGATCATTCAACAGACTCCGGGATAAGAAGGCTCAACTAATCGAGTCTCTCACCTTTCTGAAGAGATGCCGATTTTATTTTATCAATTTATTATTTTATTCTCATTCTACGTGACTTTACCGAAAGAACCAAAGAAGATGAATCTCTTCTTGACAAGGGAGTCGACCGGGTAGGGTATATATGCAATGGGTTTCTATGTCTGTACATTTGGCCATTTGCCGTTTAATTCGCGGCCGTGTATTTACTCCGCGCAACTGAAATGCATGCAGGGGTGGGTGCATTTGTGGAAATCTAATACGGCACACTTGGTGTTCGACGGTTGGCTAGACCTGTGGGTAAGGCAACGCGCAAGAGTTTGCACGGTGTTTGTGCGGATTTGCCTGCCCATATAAATGTGTTGTGAATGGGAATGCATATTTTAACGTACAGGCTACTGTTCATGGTAAAGAGCAGCAACGTGGCTGGCTTGAATTAATTAATGTATTGCCTGTTATATCTGGATGAAGAATTAACATTTTTTTACCACTAAATCCGAGAGTTGAACTTAATGTGATAACAGGTGCGCTGTTACTGTTAATTATGAAGCAACTAGATACATTTACTGGAAAATACTGGAATTATATATATTTTACAATGCAGATCATTTTTTAAATCTCGGATCGTAGTTATGAATGATGCCACAAATAATCTCTGCATTAGGTAACAAAATGTCTCTTGGGTCTCCTGAAATGAGCTGGCTGTAGTCGTAAATGAGCCGTGCACACTTGCTCAATGCAAGCCATTCGCACGAGTAAATGGTCTATGCATGAATACAAAACAACGTTGCAGGAATTTTGGTTCAATTTATTCGAGCAAAACACAATTGAAATGTGAACAAAATAACGGGAACATTCGAGAAATGATGTGTATAAGCTAAGCTCTGGACTTAGGTTTACGCATTTAACACGTATGTGCATTTGCACCAAGAGCTTCTTGCAAAGCCTAAATGGGTGGAAAACCACAATGTAAGCATATCACATACAGCAAATCTTCCCATTTCAACTTAGTGTCAGTTGCAAACAGACCACTTGTGCAGAGGCTTTAAGTTACCTTGGGTTGTCCGTTTTTTACCTTTTGGTTTAGGTTGGCATGATGTAGCTGCCAAGGACGTGATTTACATGTTGAGGCAAAATGAATATTTTGGCCTGAATTGTTGCTAGACCAAATTCAGTGTCGTGTGTGCTGGGCTTTTTCTTTTGGGTCCATTTTGTACTTTATAGTGACATGGATTAGTTTGCCAGTGTTGGATCAGGATAGATGATCATTTAAAATAAATGTCAAATAAATTCAGACTAAATGGAAGGAAACAAGCCAGGTAAGGGCTCTTTCAATGCACATTACCTCTAGTCCATCATGATATTGGACAAACACAGATATACACCAAATACTACCATCATGACCAACATCTCAATTAAAGTGTATGTGTCAATATACAATATATTTTCAACATTAAAGCTAAAAACAATCCATTAACGAAAGCATAACAGGCCTGATTCACATTTGGAAAATATCAATGTAATCAGATTTGTCTAAATTGTGTCATACCAATTACCAACGATGTAAAATTGCGAAAGAAATGTGTGGAAGATATTTCATTGAGATGTAAATCAGACCCATACTGCAATTAACTCGATACATTATATTCCACATATTGGACGAGTGACAGGATGATTATAACTACTTATTGATGATTACAATTCAGAAACCATTGTATGAGGTCGGCTGCTCGGATTTTCTTAATGCCAAGTAATTTACATCAATATTCTGTTCCTCTTCTCTGATTATAAATACTGTGATATAACTAAATAGGTACATCTAATTGAAAGAAAAGGCGCGTGTGACAAAGTTATATACGAATTCTCAGCCACTGCACGAATAAAATACAGGACAGAATTCATTCGTTTTGGACTTGGTATCACCAAAGGAATGGGATTTCCATCGCTGGCTCAGGGCCGCCAAGCAAAAATGAGCACAACCCCACCTCTTGTTGGATGAGCAAGGTGACATTTTAGCTTCACATTCACATTACTACCCTACTGCAGTTTAGGGATTCATTTAATAGCGCAATATTTACACGCACAACGAGGTTCATTCCATCAAAGTAACCACAGACACGTTCGCAGCAGCAGACGCAAAGGTGCCGATGACTGAAGCACACACTCGTGACGTAACGCCGTGCACGACTAACTCCGGAATGACCAAATCACTCGGAATGCACCCGATGCTGTCTCAGTGTGGGTTGAGCCATTCTTCTTGCCTCTTGGTGTCCCTGTATATGTATTTCTGCTACCTTGTACCTCGTATTTGTTCACCCTGTCTATGCTGGTGTGTTCAACCCAGAGGATGAACACGAAATTTAGCACTCTTCTGAAATTCGTAGTCCGCCAGGCAAGTGCCTAACTGTGTTGTTGGCCGACTGGTTTTGCATCACGTAATTTTTTCTTAGGTTTGTTGAATTCTCGTCTCTCATCTTCTTGTTGTATTTACCTCCGTGCAGTTTAACGCTCTCTGTGTTGCGTTGATGTCACCCTATGTGCTCCCTCGCTATTTGTTTTTTTACACCTGATGAAGATCGCTTGTGTTGCGGTCGAAACGTCGTGATTGATTTATTTCAATAAAATTTGATTGTATTTCTACATACGTGACTTTACCGAAAAAACCAATGAGTAATTTATATAGTCACGAAATCCTAAATTCTTCATTGAGCCATTCTTTCCCACCACCCGATTCTTCTGGCGCATCTCCGATCAGCACGATTGGCAACGTACTGTGTGAAAGAAGTTCAACATACGTACATACGAGCCTGGGTAGTGCTTGCATGGGTGACCACGCAAAAAAATTGTTCTTGTAGGCTGCTGCGAGCCTCCACTCTCACCGCCTTCACCAATCCGTTATGACCAGCGTGGTGAAGTATGGTCAAATAACGTGCGGTTGCGAAAGAAGTACAACATACATACATGGATAGCCGATGATCGTGGTGGTGGGGGGGTGTGGGGGGGGGCTCTCTGCGTGCAAAGTTGTGTTTTGCTCTAGGAAACGGGACAAAGTTTCGAACGTGGCGTGCCGCGCATGATGACATTTTTGCTCAACCACCCTTCCTCTCCATCCCGACAAGTGTGGAGCAGCACGCGACGTGCTAGAGCCACACGGGGGGGGGGGGGGGGGGGTTCACATCCGGCAGCTGCAGTGGCGTTTCCAATTTTTTTTGTTATTTAAATTACGTACACCAATTCATTTTGTACACACGTGCCTGGCACGTGCACTGAAATCCTGCGTACAATTCCTAAGGTTATATCCAACGTGGTTCAAATCATGATTGCATTGTGGGAGGGGAGTTAATTTTCTCTTCATCGATTTTGCAAAAAATAATTCGCGTGTTTTAAGCTTGCGGTATGTTGGCAGATAGTTTTTAAGTCTACTTTTAAAATTATATTTTAAAAAAATGTAAAGCCGACAATTAATTTCAATACTGCTTTAAGTCCTCATTACGTTGCGTTGATAACGGGGCGGAGGGGGACGATACACAGGGATGGGTTTCAGATATTACTCTGCCATTCATGTTAACCGTGGCGAGGAGTTCAACTCAGCTTGCCGGGTTTCTTAGTACAGTGGCGAAAACCACTGCACTGCAGCTGCACGACATTTACACTTCCACTATTAAGTTTAAGAGTTCCAAGTTTATTTTTGTTTAACCAAGTGAGAACCTAAGAATGGCCTGGGGCAATAGTCTGCCAGTAAGGGGCTATGTTATAGTTCCAATTAAATACAGTAATTTGTGGGTAGTTCTCAAATTTGGACTCAGTGGCCTACTGTTGCATATTACATCAGGGCATCTCGAACATCCATTGCAAAGCATATGGCGCTTATTGTGATTATTACATGCGCAGTATTAACCCGTGCTGCCGTTGGGACTCAAACCCATGGACTTCTGCAAGAAAGAGTGAATGCACTACTGCTAGGCCGTGTAATTGCCTCATGCGGACACATTAATGCAATGACAATCACACGTGACAGAACTGAAATCTATTTTAGCGGTAACAATTGGCACCCATACTCTTTGGTTATATTCGGTAAAGTCACGTAGGTAAAAAATAAAACAACAAAAATCTAGAATTGGCACCTAATTTGCATGCCATTAATGCACCGTTCAGCTATTCATTCCAGGTGATGTGGGTGTTATTACCTGATACAATGCTCGACTGCAATTTTAATTTTCGCTTCCAAAAAAACCCGAATCATTCATGCTTATTGGGTTTCTTCTTTCACAATGGCAAAGGGGGATCGCTACGATATGGCAATACTTTGATATCTTATGTGATGTAAGATCCACGATATTTGTATCGGCCATTTCGTATAGTATGTCGTGATTATCGTTCTCTCATTTTAAATATCAGTTCCTGACAAAGTATAATTATTAAAGTTCTAAATGAAAAATAGCTGTTACCAATTAAATTAGTGACGTACAACGTTTCTCGATGAGCATTGCAGTTTGCAAAGTTATCACGATCAGAAAAACTCACGACTGGCTCGTGTTGACTGACCTGCAAATTGAATAACTTTTAAACCAATCTCTATTCGGAATTGAAGTACATCAAAGCACAACATGGGGATGTAAACAATGTGAAAGGCAATTACAAAGTGGTTGGAATCTGATAGTGTCACAGTCGTCATGTAGTAAAGCTTAATATCGTTTTGTGAAAAATGATATCGCGGCAATCTTAGCGCAAATACATTTTTATTTTTTATCTGTGTGAAAATTGTACAAAGGTGCTGTGCGTCAGCAGCACACACACGAGTTGGCATTATTGATCCACCGAAAAGTGATGAGTTTTGGATTTTAAAAAAAACCTAAGTTTTTATTTATTTCCAAAGGACAATTTATAATTTAAATAAAAAAATGTAGATAATTTACAGGATTTGAATAAACAGCGTCTTAATTTGCTAACAAAAGAGACGTCCAATAGCACGTACCCACTTGGAACTCATGGCGGGAGAAGCACTCACGTGACTTATGATGCGTGATGTCATTTTTGTTTCGGATCATCCTACATTTCGTTTTTCTGCACCCTGATTTTCTGATATATTATTTGATTGATCCCAAAAAATTGCAACACGTCCCTAATATGCACTTATTGTAAACTGCAAAACCTATATATATTTTTTAGCAACTCGAGAGCAATTTATAAACAGAGAGTGCAGGTTTTAATAATCTAATTGTTATAAAAAAATCTCCGTGAAAAATCGATGTTTTATCTTGCACTGTTTTTTTTTAGATGCGTGCCATCAAAACGTGTTATTTAATATCATAGCAATTCAGCTGTCAAACCACACTTCATATATAAAAAAAAAGGTGGCACAGATTGATTATATTAAGTTGGCTTGATAACTTAAAAACTATACAACCTTCAGGCGAGACAAATATACTATACTGCGGTGACATATACAAATGCAAACTGCCTAGCTTATATATTTATTATTTTTTCTATGGCACTAATACGGAGTCTAAATGATGAAACTACATGTTGTAGTTTACATTCTCACATAATCGCTTACATTAAACCTAATTTTGTGCAGTACTCCACTCGAAGTTGAATGTCGAAGAGTTTCTTTACTTGGTGCGCCACGATGGCTGCTGAATAGCTGAACAGTTGTTTTTGATTCACAATTGACATATTTCTATTGCAGTGTTTATCATTATAAAATACCTTTGCTCATTAACTTCAGATAATATACTTTTGAGGAAACATAGTAAATTGTTCATTGATTCATTTCTTTTGATTTCATATAATGTAATATCTTAGATATCACATTTATTTGTAATGTTTTTTTTTATTATACTGTATGCTGTGCATGGAAACACATTAAGAAAAATATTTGTAATATATTTACGTATGGTGTCAAGGCATACACAGTGCAATAAAACATAACTATAAATTACTAACATACAGCTTCCATAAATATATTTTTAACTCGCAGTGTCGTGCGTTATTCTCACTAGAAAACAATAACGAAGCTCACTAAGGGGAGGAATGCTACCCACAGATTACATACACAACTACGCAAGTAGTGGCCATGAACTCAAACTTTCAAACCCATCGTGCGTTCTCACGAAATTAACTATCGCAAACACACACACACACTTCTAATAGGCACCACACCACCACCACCACCCAGTCAGATGCAGCTTTCAGGACATACGAGAGTTTTCTCAGTGCACCCTTCGCCTCCTCCTCCGCCACCACCAGCGCCACCACCACTGGCATCACAGAACGCCTTCGCACCAGCGGCCATCCCGGCTGCCGCTCTGTTCACGGGGACCCCCGCGACTAAGCAGCCCCTCTGCAGCAGCCTCGTGGCGGGTGTGGGGTGCGCGCCGGTGGCCTCGGGCTGCTCCCCGCACGCGAAGGGCACCCGGCGACTCCGCACGGACGAGGCCGAGTAGCGAAAGGAGCCCGTGACGGGCGTGGATGACGAGTCTCTGTCATGCGCCGCAGTCCGGGGCCAGCGGCAGCAGCGGCGCACCTCGCGGCGAACGTGCGCCGCGAACACGCCGTAGATGACGGGGTCCAGGCACGCGTTCAGCAGCCCGAACGTCAGGGACATCTCCTCGACGAAGTGCGGCACGACCTTGCGTGACACAATGCTCCGGTCGAACCAGTACCAGATGCCGAGGACGTAGTAGGGCGTCCAGCAGACCACGAAGGAGCTGACGATGGCGATGCTCATCTTGAGGGTGCGCATGCGGGCCTTGGGGATGTTGTTGTTTGAGCGGCGAAGGCGGATCTCTTTGGATGAAACTGTCGTGAGCGAAAGGATCGTGTTTTAGAAGCGGTGGATAAAATAAGATTAATAATAACAGCACGTGTGTGACATTGAATAAACTTGAATATGTTTTTTTTATTATAATGGTTGGTGGGTAGAATATTTGTTTTCTCGTTTTATTCTGCCAGACTTGTGACGAACATGGAACAGAAGCTGAAAAGTGTACAAAAAAGCACGGAGAGGTGCATAAGAGACAGAAAGAAGAACATGTGGAGAACTTGGTTGGCTGGGGGCAGAGCACAATGCAAAAAGGGTTGATGGCTAAGACGGTTGATGGAGTGGCAGCTAGTGGAGGGTGAGGCTGACCACCAGAAGATGGAGCCATGAGATCCAGCTCGCGTGCAGTAATAATTGATTATCTCGTGTACAGGAATTAAATGGATTGTTGTGGGATGACAACAGTTTTTGGAAGGCTTCTATGCCACATTGAATAGAACATAGATGAGGGTGATATGGATTTTGTGTCTGTGTACCAATGCTGATAAATGAAATAGCTTGCTGAATCTAAGACGTCGTATATTCGTGCACGTGCAGATATATTCGCCATTCCAATGTTGAGTGAGGGCTTCCCCACGCCGTGAATTTTGTGGGAATTGTGTGACCATACTTCTCCACGCTGGTCAATACAGGTTGGCAAAGGTGGAGAGCATAGATGCGGACATATCGAACCACAGTACAATGGTGGATTATGCTGCACTGACCTCTGCTAGCAAAGTGGTCTTGATAATGATTGCTGTGTGGGGCGACTAATTTTATCCTTGCCCGAGGACCCTCTGGAATCCATAAAATCATTAAGCGCACTTGACTTAATTATGGCTTTTGCTATACCTAGACTGATCCCTAAATTTTTCCATATTGACATTTAGAGCATCACATTGCAGTATAATTATTCTCACTTCCTTGGCACTCAAAGATAAAATTGCATCCTTGTAATATTATTGCTCACACTACTGCTGTTGGCAGGACCTCCACTAGAAGTAGCAACAGGAAGCCCCTCTAGAAGGTAGTTTGACCTACTCTTCTGTGCTGGTCAAGACTAACTATACTGCTTGGGTGGATAAAGGCAGAGGAGCGAATTGAAGAAAATTGGCCGATATTTTAAATCAGCTTAAATTGGTGACCTCTGGATTATAAGGACAGCGTGCTAACCATTACACTAATGGCATCATCTTGACTGCATTGAGCGATATCCTTTGCAATGCTATAGTTGTACATGCGGTGGTAGTGTTATTTATAAGAGGATGGCATCTATGGGAGCCACTATATTTTACGGGGGCAGAGCAAGGATTGGCTTCAGAATTATTGGCAGCAGATACGACGGTGAGATTTTAGGGCCTGGCGCCAGCCTGTATAGAACTACGATCATCAGAGGCCTGCGATCTTCTGGGGGGGGGGAAAAAACTTTCAGAATTTACAAGCTCACTCATCCTTAGAACAGAGATTAAATTCAGCTGGAGCTGTCCGGGGCTGAGCTCCAGAACATATTTACCGGCGTGGGGAGGGGGGAATATTTCTTTCCGTTTATTATATATAATTTGAGATCCACTTAAGCTTTTTTTAGTGTATGGCTCTCAATGCCTTTCAAATGACACTGTCGAAGTCAAGAATGGGCCTTGATTGTAGGTATACGTCACTTGCTAAATTGAGACCATGAAGATGAATTATACTTCATTAGAGTGTCACTCTTGTGTCTCGCTACTTTGATTATGTCACGTGTTGGCTGTCGGGAACGGAGCCGTCCAGTGTTTTTCATACGGCACCACCTTTGCCAAATACATCGGACAACCTCTAAGGACAATGTGGATGGGTCATGATTTAGGGTTAAAATAATTTACATCGCTGATTTAATTATTAGCTGCTACTCATCCCCGTGAATCAGAAAGTGATACTCGAGCCCGTAAAGTTTTGTGCGGATCTGTTGTTATAGCTCTGGTGTGTTTTTTGGGTTGTAACGCATGTTCATATGCTTAGTTCTTTCGGTAAAGTCACGTTGAAGAGAAACAACAAAAGAATAAAATATATATAAAACAATAAAAAAATTCTCACGACGTTTCGACCATAACTCAAACGGTCATCTTCAGGTGTGTTGGTTGCATAAATTTATTTTTAAACGGCGCATTTATTTATTTATAAAGAAAAACGTTAGCGTCACGCGCAGCGATTTGGCAGTTTACCCAGGACTAGTCCATCTATATTTTGAAAAGAGGAGGGGGGAGACGAAATTTGTTATAATGTATGCTGTCTGAAAGCCACTGTAAGCGTGAACAATCAATTAAGAACTGAAATGGTTTATCAAATCTTTCCAATGATTGCTAAGATAGAATCCATCTTCTCAGTTGAAATTGTCTCTGTGCTTGTATATGTGGATAGCCTCATGAACGAATCTCTCATGGAAGCCAGATGGCTTACAAAGAACCTCTGTCTGGGAAAAGTCAATGGCATGTGAGCCTACTGAATTAGAACAATGATCTGCTACGGCCGAGGTGTTGGTCCTACCGTGTTTAAGGTCTGCTTTGTGTTCACGAATACGGTCCGAGACATGGCGTTTGGTTTCTCCAATGTAACTACTACCACAGAGGCAACTTAGTTTGTAGACACCAGGGTATTGTATGTCCGGAATCACATCTTTTACAGATGGAACCAGATCACGGATTTTATGTAATGTGTTGAAACGGACCTGGATCTTGTGTTTATTCAAGATTTTGGAGATCTTTTTTGTGATCCCAGCAATGTAGGGTAAAGTGATGGTTTTGAAAGGCTCCTCAAGAGGGTTCTTCTTCATGGTTTGAGTGATAGCTTTGCGGATTGTATAGTCGGAGTAACCATTAGCCCTAAGAGCTTGGTGTACGTGCTTGAGTTCACTGCTTATGTGTTCCTGGTCGGATATGCATTGGGCTCTATGATACAGAGTCTTGATGAGAGAATTCTTCTGTGACGGATGCTTATCTGAAACCGGATTCCCACCACCATCCATCACAGAAGAATTCTCTCATCAAGACTCTGTATCATAGAGCCCAATGCATATCCGACCAGGAACACATAAGCAGTGAACTCAAGCACGTACACCAAGCTCTTAGGGCTAATGGTTACTCCGACTATACAATCCGCAAAGCTATCACTCAAACCATGAAGAAGAACCCTCTTGAGGAGCCTTTCAAAACCATCACTTTACCCTACATTGCTGGGATCACAAAAAAGATCTCCAAAATCTTGAATAAACACAAGATCCAGGTCCGTTTCAACACATTACATAAAATCCGTGATCTGGTTCCGTCTGTAAAAGATGTGATTCCGGACATACAATACCCTGGTGTCTACAAACTAAGTTGCCTCTGTGGTAGTAGTTACATTGGAGAAACCAAACGCCATGTCTCGGACCGCATTCGTGAACACAAAGCAGACCTTAAACACGGTAGGACCAACACCTCGGCCGTAGCAGATCATTGTTCTAATTCAGTAGGCTCACATGCCATTGACTTTTCCAAGACAGAGGTTCTTTGTAAGCCATCTGGCTTCCATGAGAGATTCGTTCATGAGGCTATCCACATATACAAGCACAGAGACAATTTCAACCGAGAAGATGGATTCTATCTTAGCAATCATTGGAAAGATTTGATAAACCATTTCAGTTCTTAATTGATTGTTCACGCTTACAGTGGCTTTCAGACAGCATACATTATAACAAATTTCGTCTCCCCCCTCCTCTTTTCAAAATATAGATGGACTAGTCCTGGGTAAACTGCCAAATCGCTGCGCGTGACGCTAACGTTTTTTTAAATAAATAAATAAATGCGCCGTTTAAAAATACATTTATGCAAACCAACACACCTGAAGATGACCGTTTGAGTTATGGTCGAAACGTCGTGAGAATTTTTTATTGTTTTATATATATTTTATTCTTTTGTTGTTTCTCTTCAACGTGACTTTACCGAAAGAACTAAGAATATGAATTACTGCAGTCACGAAAGCTTTAAATCAAAATGTAACGCATGTTGTTCAGCACGACAGCCAAACGTTTTGCTCCACGTGCTGGGGGGCTTTAGGTACATGTCCGACGGATTCACTCCACCTAGTGGAAGTTCGAGGAAATGAAGCTCCAAAGCAGGTGGAGTGAAACGTCGGGAAAAAAAAAATCCTGAAAAAGCTCTCAGCGTGTGGAGCAAAACGGCAGAGATCGTGTGAAACAGCACGCGATACAGCCCGAAAACACATCGGAGAGCTAGGCCAGGAATTAAACTGAATTGTTTTAAGCTGGAATTAAAGTAGACAATAAATACTACTTCTGCCCCCCATTCTACGTAGGTAAACGATTCATATTTTAACGGCCGAATGTAATATGTTTTGCATTATCCATGTTTTTTTTTAAATCTGGGCCACATCCCCACATCCCATCACTCCAGATAACAGAGATCTGACAGATAACAGAACAAGTCTGTCATCATACTGTATTTGAGGAATCGCGTTTCGTTCCATTTTTAATGTGCACGCGTCTTTTGTGTGCCGGTTCGCAACACAGCGTGTCTCTCCTGTTGTCAGACTCTAGCCGGCACTCGTGTTCTGAAATGCCGTGTTAAAAAAAAGTGATGAAGTGAAGGCGTATTGAATAAAACCCACTCACTGCTTCCTTCTCGCATCCTCTTGGAGATCTCCAGCAAAATCCGGCAGTAGCAGAATATCATAATGAAGAGTGGCAGTATGAAGAGGAACACGAACGTGAACATGTAGTAGAGATTGTGGTGCCACTGCTCGACGAAGTTGCCGTGGGTGACGCACTGAACGAAGTTTTTGTTTCCTTTGGGACTCTTTACGTGGAACAGAAAGAGCTGTGTGCAGAAGAGAAGGGCATATCAAGCAAATTAGTTAGTCACCGTGAAATACACCGCGTTGAATTTCGGATGCCGTGCCGTCAAACTATGGGGTTGCCATTTTTCGGGGTATAACGGAAAAAAAAACCCGTATCATGGGAAGAAGAATATGTCAGTAATACTGGAAGAGGGCAGTAGTGCAAGTTAATGCGTTGTCTTGACCGGTGTCATGTTACACAACGGACCAAAAAAAAATCAGGACTTTTAATTGTCGCAGGAAGACTTCGCGTATTTGCCAGGACAAGCTTCCTTTAAAAAGAGAGGACGATTCAGGGAAAACCAGGAGAGGTGGCAATACAAGGGCACCCGGTGCATATATTCTTATTTTTAATTACATGACATCTTGTAATTAGTTTTAGGGCATAATTGGACACGTACACATGACATTCAAACACAAATAGACATTCTGAGTTAATAATTTACACAGCACTGGTGAAGGCACAAAATACACATTTGTTTAATGACATTTTGAAATACTGTACGTCTGCACCGGATGCAAAAGAGGAACTGATAAATCGGCGAAGTTGGTGATAATAACGTAAGTCGTGGTAAGCCAAAAGAGCCCACTTACAAACAATTACTTATGTCTTGGGATACATCATTTAAAAAAATAATATAAATTTTAATGTCATAAATAAATCGGAAAGCAGCTTGAATTTTTCATGAAAATGTATTTCAAGTTTCTTCTGGTGATCATTTCAAAGCATTTCACTGCACTTGTACAATTGTAAAAAAAAAAATCTGAAACCATCGTTGAACTGCATTGCATTTCAGAATAAAATGTCACTACCCAGGGACGATTTCAATAATGGTCATTGTTATTTAAATCAAAATTTGATGGTCATTGTGTTGAGCAGGATTGAAGATGCGTTGAGCATTTATAAATGTGGTTGTCAATAAACTACCTACGGTTCGAGACTTTAAAACAGCCTTGATATACTTTGGAACACATATAAATGGCACTGAAATATTGCCTTGCCATGTATACGGTAAAGATAAAGGTGTAGTCCCGTGGATCACGTGCTCACACCCGCTGCTAGAGGACGGGTCGCCGCTAGAGGGCGCTCCAGCGAGCCCCTCTCGGGGATATGTTGGCCTACTCGTCCACGTTGGCCATTCATCTTGAAATCGGTGTGATTACCCATACTTTCCTCCACCACACGTAATCTGCCACTTTCCCAACCGGTGTACCCATTTATACTACTGGGAAGACAAAGGATGGGGGATTTAATCAACGTGTTCATTGTTTAAACTGCCACGCCGGTAGATCGAATCGGATTGAACCAGTGACATCTGGAGTGCGTTACCTGCGGGACCGCCAGCAGAACGCTGAGGACCCAGGCCACGCTCAGCATGGTCTTGTTTTTGGCCTTGGCTTTGCCGATGCCCAGCGGATTGAGGATGGCCGAGTGGCGGTCCAAGCTGATGACCACGGTGATGAAGGCGCTGGAGTACATGGCGAGGAGGCGCAGGAACATGAGCAGGCGGCAGGCGAACTCGCCCGCGTACCACTGCGTCGTGATGTGCCACACGGCGTCCAGGGGCATCACGATGAATGTGATGAGCAGGTCGGCCGTCGTCAGGTTCACGATGAGGATGCGCACGTGCGACTTGGTCTTGCGGTGGTTGTGGGAGATGGTGCACAACACGGTCAAGTTGCTTATGGCCGCGAAGATGAAGAGGGCAAAGGTGCTGATGACACGGAACTGCGTGGCTGGCAACCGGATGTCGGAGTTGATGCTGGAGTTGGTGAGTTGCTCGTCGCCTGTGTGGCTGGCGTTCGGAGGGCCCGTCACGTTGTTGAGGAAGGCGGCCCGGGGTGTCATGTTCATGTTGATGGGTTCCATCAAAGCGCACTTCATAGGATGGGACAAATCTCCATCACACGGATGACTCGGTCCTTAAAAAGTTGAAAGCGCTGTAAGGAAAATTGCTACGTGCAAGAAAGAGCATTCAATTAAATGTATTTTCTTAACGTGGGGGATGATGATGATGACGGTGGTGATGTGTGTGGAGTGCTCACAACAGCAGTCGGAAAAGTTGTGCGTGAAATCCCCAGTTCGGGATCAAATCGGCTGTTATCTCTGTGGGGTCTAAACTAAAAAAAACAAATGTATGGCCAGTGAACATCGGTTGACCTCTGGAGAGCTCGGCTCAGGCTTGGGAAGTTATCAAATTGCCACCGCTGGACTGTGGCCCACAAAACAAATATATGCAACCGCTCAATATTCAATTTGAGCCACGAGAGCACTGACTTTTGAACATTCAGATAATATTTTTTTTTATCACATCTGTTTTAAAAAACAAAAGCTGTTTCAAAAGTGCAATACAGGTTAATTTAGTTTCTGGTTTAAAGAGGCGACAGACAATGAGGACACCGCTTACCAGTGTGTGTGACATTTTAAATTATAGAGAGTCAGAATATAATCCCTTGTAACAATAGCAGGTGAAATAAAACTCCATAATCTTTCATTCATATATGAATGAAGTGAGACTTGACATTATGGTTTGATTCAATAAAAATGTCCTCGTGTGGCGGTGCGGTGGTAACGCACCCGGGCCACCTGTATTCAATTCCCGGCCACAGCAAACATCAGTGGCTTAAATATCTGAACCAGTCCTGGGCCACCCACTTCACCAACCCACACTGGTGAATTATAATCAAATATCCTGGCACGGCAGGGGACGCCTTCAACCAGCAATGGATTGACAAAGGATTGTGCTTTATTATGATTGTTATGATCATCACTGTGATACGTCAAGCTATAGCTCATTTGGTGAAGCAACAGGCTCCCAATCATGAAATAATTGATTCAAATTCAGTTTCAGTTTCATTTATTAGGTATAGCCCTGTGAGCCATGCAGCTCTTGACTCGGGTACAACCGCAACAAACAAAAACATGAACAAAAGAACAAATGCCAGCCAGGGTTAATTATTCTCACCAATATCTGCAAAATAAGAAGTAATAATTATATTTAATGGGACCTCCTTTGCCATTACCAAAATATGATAATAGGTTTTTCCCCTTTTTCTGGCAACAAAACAGGTGTTAAGATGTTAAAACACCAAACTGAAACCTTTTACAAGGAACCATGTCTGCATTAACCACAATACTTGTGGTCAGAATGCAAACAAAAAACTCTGATAATATATGCATTGTCTTTGGTTCTTTCGGTAAAGTCACGTAGGTATAAAATAAATCACGACGTTTTGGGCGCAACACAAGCCGAAATGTCGTGATTTATTTTATTTTATACCTATGTGACTTTACCGAAAGAACCAAAGAGTATGGATTTCTGCAGTCACGAAAGCTTCAAATTAATATATGCATTGTCAGTTTAACACGTAGGCTTTCGCGACCAATATAATTCATAATAGAGGTTTTTGGGTTAGATCGCGTTATTTATAAATATGTCGTAACCCTCCACCACCCGACACGGCCAATCAGCAAAAAAGTGTCACGTTGACAAAAGACAATTAGTTCACTACTTTAGCCTACCGGTGTGTTGAAGAGTGAATCCACAACATTTACAGTTTCAATACGACGTTTCGCTGGTAATTACATCCAGCATCATCGGGCAATTCGCCAGAATGTCGGGTGGTGGAGGGTTTCGACACATTTATAAATAACGCGATCTAACCCAAAAACCTTTATTATGAATATGCATTGTCCTTGAAATTGATTGGTCCACACCAGAGACAGCTTTCTTTTGAGCCTCGTCTCAAGCGGTGTTAGACCAGAGGACGCAAAAAGGCGTAGTACGCCGTTTGAGACGAGGCTCAAAAGAAAGCTGTCTCTGGTGTGGACCAATCAGTTTCAAGGACAATGCATATAACATCAGAGTATATTTTTTGTTTGCATTCTGACCAAAAGCATTGCGGTGAATGCTGACATGATTCCTTATAAAAGGTTTCAGTTTGGTGTTTAACACCTGTTTCGTTGCCAGAAAAAAGGAGAAAAACCTATTATCAACAATAATATTCTTTGTATAGTCTGGAAATCCTCCAGACTTTTTAGCAGGAAGGGCCTGCATTGGGAAGTTTGGTCAAATCTATTCATTAGTCTGACATCGGTGGAAAGTATCCGTCCGTAATTATGCTTTGGGCATGCCGATCATTCGAGCGCTTGAATGTAATCCCTGGCTGAGTTCTCCCAGCATAGAGTATGAGTGCGGTGACACTACCAATGTTAATAGTGTCACATTTAGACTACATAATACCGTTGGTTACTTTGTTCGAATCCCTTTCAAAGATCAGCAACACATTACATGTCAGGGGGGGGGGGGGGGAGCGGTAAATAAAATTCGTGCTACATTCAGAAGTAATTAATTGTCTCGTGGCTATATTAGCTCCCAGGATGGAAATGTCAACTTTGTCACAGCTGGGTTTAGTCCTAACAATAGAGATAACCTCTGTGCTGTGATTTTGCTTTCTAAATTGTGATGAAAACGCTGACAATGCATATAGGTGAGACTTACATCTGCATAGATTGTCGTGGTGAAGCTGCTGTGTACAGCTCCCTAATGTGTTTCGGGTCATACGGTGCGCTGTTGGGAATAATGTTCGACATTTCACTCCACATTATGGGAGCTTCTTCAGGAACTAATTCATATTCGCAAGAATCCGATTCTGTTCCTCAATCAGATTCTTAAAAATGGGCATTCAGTTCCTTAAAAGTCTCCCAGCACATGGGTGCGAAACGTCGGACATCATGCCAAACAACACGTGGCACAATCTGAGAACCGAGCAATACATATGCAAAGTAAGCGCCATATGCGTCGGTAAATAAGAGCGATTCTGTGTCCACCGCTAATAGCATGTGAGCTAATACTGTAGCGTTTGAAAAAAACCAGACGGAAAACACATTCTCACTTAACCCACACCTGGGCCTCTCTTCAGCAAAAACACGTGGACACGGCATGCACGCACGCACGTACACACTGCACGCACACACACACTGCACGTACACACATCGCGCACACACACATCGCACACACACACACCACATACACCGCACACACACACACCACACACACACACCGCACACACACACACACAATGCACACACATACACACACCGCACACACCGCACACACACACACACACACCGCACACACATACCGCACACACACACCGCACACACACACACCGCACATACACCGCACACAAACACACACCGCACACACACACACCGCACACACACACACCGCACACACACACCGCACACACACACAATGCACACACACACCGCACACACACACAAACCGCACACACACCCGCACCGCATACACACACCGCACACACACACCGCACACACACACAATGCACACACACACACCGCACACACACACAATGCACACACACACACACCGCACACACACCGCACACACACCGCACACACACACGGCACACACACACTGCACACACACACAAACCGCACACACACACAAACCGCACACACACACACTGCGCACACACACACCGCACACACACACCGCACACACACCGCACACACACCGCACACAAACACACACCGCACACACACACGCACCACACACACACACCGCACACACACACACACACCGCACACAAACCGCACACACACACACCGCACATAAAACACACACACCGCACTCACACACCGCACACACACACACACCGCACACACACACTGCACACACACACAAACCGCACACACACACGCCGCACACACACCCCACACACACACCGCACGCACACACCGTGCACACACACACCGCGCACACACACACCGCACACACATACACACTGCACACACACACACACACTGCACACACACACACCGCACACACACACACAACGTACACACACCGCACACACACACACTGCACACACACACACCGCACACACACACACATCGCACACAACACACAACGCACACACACCGCACACACACACACACCGCACACACACACACAATGCACACACACCCCGCACACACACACTGCACACACACCGCACACACGCACACCGCACACACACACACCGCACACACCGCACACACCGCACACACACCGCACACACACCGCACACACACAAACTGCACACACACACACACACACTGCACTACCGCACAAACACCGCACACACACACACACACACCGCACACACACACACCGCACACACACACCGCACACACACACCGCACACACACACCACACACACACACACCGCACACACACCGCACACACACACACAACGCACAAACACCGCATACACACACCGCATACACACACACCGCACACACACACCGCACACACACACACCGCACACACTGCACACACACACACCGCACACACACACACCGCACACACACACCGCACACACACACCGCACACACACACCGCACACACACACCACACACACACACACACCGCACACACACACCACACACACACACACAGCACACACAAACACCGCACACACACACCGCACACACACCACACACACACACACCGCACACACACACCGCACACACACACCGCACACACACACACACCGCACACACACACCGCACACACACACACCGCACACACACACACCGCACACACACACACCGCACACACACACCACACACCGCACACACACACCGCACACACACACCGCACACATACACCGCACACACACACACACCGCACACACACACCACACACACACACCGCACACACACACCGCACACACACACACCGCACACACACACACCGCACACACACACCGCACACACACACACGGCACACACACACACACACCGCACACACAAACACCGCACACACACACCACACAGTCACCGCTTCGAGCGTCTCGTTACGAGACCGTTAAGGCGCCCGCTTTACGCAGCGTTCATCGACATTTTACGCGCGACCACAGCGGCGTTGACATTAAAACGTCGAAAGGACCTCTATTTGACGAGCACGTTATAATCACGTTATACATATATATTGGAGGAATCCGATGAGCTATAAAGCTCTTAAACACTGGGATCGCGCTGCCGTCGCCATCCTATAGAAGAGCCACGCGGACCCGGCACTGAACGCCGGCGGACAGCGGTGCAGAATTATCACCTCCTCCGAAACCCCAACATATCGCAACACTCCGGGCTGACGTTCCTTCTGAAGGGCTGTGACCGTCATCCGCATTAGAACATCGACAGGCGGATGGATGCCGCACCTCGCGTTCGTTCATTGATGACTTTTTGCAAAGACAAAAGCACCGAGAGCGACTGTGGTCATGCACGCACAAACTGTGCACCCGATGGTAAACCGCTGTCGTCTGCGCTCCGTCGACGGAGGTAATAGGAACACTGGAATGAAGTCTCTCTCTCTCTCTCAAGCCATCTCTCGTCGTGGCTAGCAGACATCGGCGTTTAGCGACCGAGCAAATCGCTGCAATACGCAGGAATATAATGCTTAGACACCGTGCCGGCGACATCGCCACTGCTCATGATGTTAATTGACTGCGCCACGTTTCATGTAAATACAAAGCGTTTATAAACATTAGGGTTAGCCTGGCTCTCGACTTACCAGGCATTGGCAATGCACATTGGACGTAAGCAAAGCAAACTCCGAAACATGTTTATGCCTACGCTTTGGTTCTATTCGGTAAAGCCACGTAGGTAAAAACAGATATATAAAACAACAAAAATCACCACCATGCATAAATCGTGACTTTACCGAATAGGACCAAAGGGTATGGATCCTTGCAGTCACGAAAGCTTCAAATCTAGAAATGTTTATGCCTTCAGGGTCTCGTCAGCAGAGTCGGGCTTGTTATACAAATGCCGCTGTATTTCCCGATATTATTGGAAAGAGCATCGCATATGAAATATGGGAGTCCGTTTAGCGCTAAAAAAAAACACGGCAACATCGCACGCAAACTCGTGCACGCGTTGTGAGTAACGCAGGGTGATCTGCGATACCTCACTAAGAGAAGAGGGATACACGACAGAGAAAGAGCGTCTTATTCCCACACTCCACGTGTCTTCCACCAATCTAGATAATGTACACGCGTTACCGATGTTAACACTCCCTCCGCCCGTGCTCGTTGTGCAACGTAGCTCGGAGCGACTTGCGTAACATTCAATCGCGCTGAGAAGAAACTGGATCATGAGCGTGCTCAGGTGCGTGCTAAGCGCAACACGTGCGCTTTCACAATTTTCTCTTGCGCACGGGAATGTAAGCACCGAGCCCTTGAACAGCCCGTGTTAGATTATTCTTGAAGCTAATCTTTGCAGGGATTGAGCCTTGGGATAGTGCTTGGATGAATGACCGCCCCCCCGCACCATGCATAAATCTGGAGCTGTAGGCGGCTGCTGGACTACGTTGTCAGCAGTGGGCAGTTCAACAAATTCCACTATTGTATTATACAGTACTATACACCAACGTCTATGCTCCCCTGGCTTCACCTACCCGGCACTGACCTGCTTGGCGAAGTACAGTCAAACATTTCACAGGGGGAGAACCCTTCCTCCGAACAGCAGCGAATTGACAAAGCTGATATGAATAATGACTACGTTCCAAAGTAAAACAAGGACGTGACACGTGGATTTGACAGGGAGCTGTGCGCACTGAATGAACGAAAAAGGAAGGGGCTTAATAATTCTTACCTGGGCACTCGAACAAGAAGAAGTTCACTGCTGGACTGCGGAGCTCAGATCTTCTCTCCGCGCTGCAAAGCCACGAGTGAAGCTTTGCAAGATGTTTCACTGATAATTCATGCTTTGTTGTGGGTACGGGGTGAGTAGAGGGGGCGGGGGAGTGGGGGGTAGAGTGGAGGGGGTTCGTGGGGGATGTGGTAGAGAGGCAGGGAAATTGGGGAGGGGAGGGGGTAGCGGATTACGTACGGTTGCTGGTGCTGTGTGTGTGTGTATGCGCAGTGGTGCCGGTAGTTGTGAGAGAGAGAGAGAAACAAATGGAGAGCCGGGGCATTTTACGACCCATTTTTGTCATACTTTGCAAAAAAAACCGAGCCCGTGAGTTGGGAGTGCAGGACGATTGGGAACACGATGTAATGAATGTGCTCGGGGGGACATTGTTAAATTCTTTGAGAATAGATGAAGGATCGATTCCGTGGCAACTTTGTGAACTCATCGAGTGTACAATCGCAACATTACGTTATGCTCGAAGTAACCGCTGTCCCGCCACCAATACCGCCACCGCGGAGATGGAGCGATGTGCTCATGTGTAGGAACGGAACGAATCGTTAAGGGTTGGTCGACGTCTCGGAGAGGAAAGAACATTTCATCCGTGACTCATGATGATAAGTTTTATTTAAAATAAATCACATAAGCTTGCAGCTTTGGAGTCACAGAGTTCACGATTATTTTTTCTCTGAACGTTTTGATCGTCGTGCTGCGAAAGTAGTGAGACAGTGGTGGTAATTCCTCATTCATATGACGGTTACAGGTATAGCCACACAAGACGGGGAGCTGTGTTACACAACAGGGTTTTATGTATCGTGGGGATGGGGGGAGAATATTTTCCGAAGCACAGTTCCGGCCAGCTCCGACTGATATTAATCCCTGGGTTTACAGCTGGAAAAAAGATGAGTTAATTTTGTGTTCGTTCTGTTTTTTTTTTATTCTCTCAGTAACATACTAAACCTGTGGCTGAATTTGTCATGTCAGTTACACACACTCACAGTGACGCGGATACCTTCATAAACTCGTTATATGTCAATATGTAACGCCTGGTAGCTGCATAATTTAAAGATAGCTGTCAAACGAATCAAGGACGACGGCGCTGATTGCCATCAGCCGCTGTAAATGAAGAAGGTTCTCTCCAAATGTGTGCGCTTCGAGGGAGTGGTGCGCAGTGCGTCGTGAATGAACTCCCGGCGTTCTACGCGTAATACACGAAACACCTCTTCCAGCGTGTGATCAACGCGGAAGAGTTATGGCAACATTCCACTTGGGGTCTTGAGCTCGCTGTCGCGTGGACCCTTGCCCCGCAGCAGTGGTTTGAGCAAGTAATTGGCAGGGCTGCACCTTTTGCAAAATTCGTGCAAGTCAAGGTTGTTCTCAGCCCCTCCAGTTACCGGTCCTTTTAAGTAATGGTGGCAAATTTCACGTGGCTGGATAGGGTTGTTGGGAGGTGGAATGACTTAAATATTTAAGACAATTGTGATAGGAGAATGGGTGGCGGCGGTGTTTTAGGCGCGCTTCGCTATGAACACCGGCGACTGACGTTCGATTCCCGGCCACGGCTAACATCAGTGGCAAAGTGGTATCTGAACTGGCCCTGGGTCCCCCTTTCACCATGCATGTACGTATGTATGTGTGTTGAACTTCTTTCACACCGTACATAGCCAACCGTGCAAATCGAAGGTGCAGTGGGAAGGACAACAACATAAACACAAAAAGCCGTTTCTCAAGAAATTCGTTTTCAAGCTAGATGATTTAAAAGCGCGTGGCTTCCAGTGGCTTCCTAATATTCGAAGGAAGAGCGTTCCAGACGGCCGCAGAAGCACATCTGAAAGCGCGCGATGCAGTGACCATCTTTGTTCGATGGTTAGCCAAGAGCCGCTGCTGAAAACCCCAGATGACCGACATGGCTTAAGAAAGCCTTTATCCAGCAGTAGATTGACAAAGGGCTGTGTACATTCTGATTACTAAATGCTGTGCAACCGTGCAAAATAAAACGTAAGATACAACATCGTAAACACTTGTGCTTAACAGGTTTTTAGGTTTTTTTTTAAAGCTCTGCTTTCTCCAAGGAATCCTTTAAAATCCGAATATACGACAAAAATAATAATGTACTGTACAGCCTTTTTGCCAATCCACCGCTGGATGAAGGCCTCCCCGCACACCATGCCAGGTGGGGGTTGTTTGACCATGTTGATCCACCCTGGTTCGTGGCGTGGGACCAAGACCGTTAGCCGTGGCCAGCAATCAAACTCGCGTGGCCAGGTTTTAAAGCGCAGTGCGTCAACCACTGCGCCACCGCTCCCCCCCCCCCCCGCCACCTCCCATTATCCTCACCATGGGATAATGTTGCTCTCCACGTGGACATTAAATCAAGAAATCGCGATAATTTACCTTGGAGTGGAAGGCGAGGGACGGCGTCGACGTGGCATTATACACTCCATAAGGGCAATTACGAAAATTGTCGGGGTTAATTTTCCATAATGGACTCCATAAAACGAGTGACTACGTGTATATATATGGAGGATGGTTTGCAGTCTTGTGTGTGTGTGAGATGCATGGAATAGAGCCAGGGCTGCCCCGGGCTCTAAAGCGCGAGGCCCGGGGCAATCGCCCCGGTTCGCCCATACCCGAGGGACGGGCCCTGAATCGACCGGCGGGGGCAGTCGTCCGTACACTTCGCTACGAACCCGATCCAGTTGAGATTGATTCCCGGCCACGGCTGTGAGTGGCAAGCGATGTGTGCACATGGTGCTGGCACCCGCGCCACCTCCTTCTCTCCTCCCTTCAACGTCACGGTTTGGATGGTCTCTGTAAATATTCCACGAGAAATGAAGCCCTGATATGGCCACGTGTACAAAATCCTACACATCCCAACCATGATACGTTTATTTCGAGTCGTTTAACTTAAGAGGAACTTTAAATTAAAACGGCCGTTGCAGTTACCCATATAAAGGCTGAGCGCCTTAGACTGCCAACACAACTTAAAAGCGGGGTTAATGAGAAAATGATGGGTCAGGCACTCCATCATCGCGCTTTGCCGACTTCGTGAGCTATATTGAAGAGTACGGACGGGATGCCTCTGTAGCCTAATAGTGTCACACTTTAATACATTTTAAAATAGACAATGCGGCATTATTAATGATTATTGTGCTGTATTCTAGTATGTCCTGCGCACATTATATTTGATCAGGGGTGCAGCCCCAACCTAATGTTCTTTAAACACCCAGGTTTTTTCGAGAGTCCTCTATATTGAGGCTGCCACATGTCCGGGAGCCTCAACCAGGACATACAATGAGCTGGCATTCCCTCCCTATATCATTACCGCCCACTTTTACATAAACACATTCCTGTGGAGGGAGCTGGTAGGAACGTTGGGTTGCTCGGTCAATGGCCAGGGTCAACGGCGGCACCACGTGGTGTATTCCGCAAATATGCCCGACTGTGAGGGCGGGCACAAGCCGGCGTGAGTAGGTTAAACGTTGAGTTTTATAAGGGCACCACGGGGTGACCAGTCCCTCCCTACCCAGCCCCACCCCTCCCACCCCCCCCACCCAGCCCCACCCTCCCCACCCAGCCCCTCCCCACCCTCCCCACCCAGCCCCTCCCCACCCTCTCCTCACCACCCAGCCCCTCCCCACCCAGCCCCACCCTCCCCACCCAGCCCCTCCCCACCCTCCCCACCCCAGCCAGCCCCTACCTCCCCACCCAGCCCCTCCCCACCCTCCCCTCTCCACCCAGCCCCACCCCTCCCATTGTTGGATGCACGACGGACGGACGGACACAATAATCCCCTGTGGGCTAGTGTAACCAGAGGTTCCTACCAGTACTATGCCAACTCAGCCATTCACCCAAACCGTGAGTGACCCCTCCCTTCCTCTTATGATATTGGTTGCCGACTACTCCTCTGCCAGCCACGTTCAATACTCAAATAGCCTAGCCATGTGCCATTATCATTAGTCACGCATGAAGTCAGAACATTTTAACCCAACGACATTACTTTATTTGGACAATGTTAAGCAACTAGTCTATTGCTTAAAATGCATTATTACTCGTGATCTAATTTTTTTAATGGTGGAACAACTTGATCGTGTTCTATGGAGGGACTGGCCAGTGTCACATCCTGGCTATGAGAATGGGTAATATATTCATCCTGCTTATGGTGTTGCAGTTGTGATCTCTGATGTGTTTCTGGTTGAACCGCGTGTTGTTGTGTGATGAAGCTCCTAGCACGTACAGCGAAACGTCGGACATCATTTGGGATTGAATGCTTGGTCACTCAGATGTGCCGGTAGGAAAAAGGAGATGCACTCGTCTGAGTAGACCTTGGCTTTTTTGACTCGAACACACACACACACAAATCCGTGTCTACTTCCACGCCCAGTAATGTGCGTTGCGCTGCGTCCGTACTTTGTCACGGGCAACGATACCGTGGCCACACCCCATTTGAATGTAGAGCCCAGGGAATTCACCAACATATATTACGCAACAACAACAAAAAGCGACAACATTGATTTCTCAGTGAAACAAATATAAGTAACATACGCAAAACTCACAAATCGTTGTTTTCGTAGATTTGTTTTCGTAGTCATGAGCTAACGGCCCAATGCGGCTTTAAAAAAAAATATTCTTTCAGAATGCTCTTAGGACTAATATAATACCAAAAAAAAAACAAGTATCGTGTATTTTCGAAAAATTCATAATAAGTAGTCTAATTTGTGGTCTCCGTCAGACACTGAATTCCTGCTCAATGAGCATCAATAGTGCTGCTCATCTCATGCTCACAGTCCTGAGGCAGTGGTGGAAACTGAGAATTTCTATGGGGCAGGTGAGTCTCAATATAGAGGCGCCGCAGTGGCGAGATGTCCACTGCCTGGCCTGGTATACAGGAGGTCGTGGGTTTCCATCTCGACCCTAACGCCTGCTGTATATTTGGAGTTTGCATGTTCTCCCCATGGTCGTGTTGATTTTTCTCAGGGTCCTCCAGGGTTTCCCCCCCTCCACATTTAGAATCAACATGCGTTTAGAGTATGTGGCGGCTCTACATTTTCACTTGATAAGCCACT